CCGATCGTCTTCACACATAATTCCTATATCAAAATCTGCATTCAGACCAACATTAACAGTAGACATTGCTTCGTATAAGGTAGCTAAACTGTTTCTCTTTAATTAATGCAAGAAGAGATAATTAAATAAATTATTTCTTCCGTCAATATATGTGCACTACCTTGTAAGTCTGTCGGTCACGGTAGCCGAGCGGTCTAAGGCTGTACTGTCTTCGCTCGCTTGGAAACCGGGATCGTGGTTTCGAATCCCACTCAGGGCATGGATGTTTAGTTTGTGTGTGTGCGATTTTCTGTGTTTGTATATAGGTAGAGGCCTTGCGACGAGCTGATCACCCGCGCAAGGAGTCCTACCGAATGTATAAGTTCTAGAAAAACCGAAGTGAACAGAGAAGTTCATAGAGGTAGGCCTAGGCCCACTGGGGCTGTAGTGCCAAGGAAAAAAAAACCTTGTAAGTCTAACGTTCAATTACTTCATATTGTTAATTATATTGTCGACTATACAAGGGGTTTGGATTGGTGAATAAATTTATTGATCACTTACAGGTCCTAACTACAAATAACTATAACACTATTACTGCTTTCCACAGTACAAATCTTAGCCTACTTTGTAACAGCTCTCAACAATGGCTATTCTCCTGCAATGTTTTCACTGGACGTTTCCTGGAAAAGAATCTTCAACTTCCGCTGCCCGCTGGTTAAGACTCCAGATTTACTCCCTCAACAACAGAACGCCTGAAGAATGTTGTCAAGCACTTCGAGGAGGGCATGAAGTAAGAACCTTCCTAAGGACAGATTACATCCGATAAATGATTATTTTCTGGCTCACTTAACAATGCGTTCTCAATGTGGGGGTCGTGGCTGGTGGACGAAAGCTGCAGCCTGTTGATAGCCATCGTGTGTGTCCGAAACTTGTTCTACTAACGGTATAGAGGAGTGAGTGTAATGTGAGTGTGGCAAAAATCGCACAGCCTTTTAAACGTTAAACGAAATTCTGCGGAAATATCGCTAATTAATTAATTAGCATAGGATGATACTAAAATATTATATTAAGATATATCACGTCTGCATCGATATAATATAAGCCAATTTAATCTTTTTGTATAACATAAATGAAAGTGACAAACCCATTCCTGTTTGTAGACAAAAAAATCTCGGTGGCTTTAGTCCGCAAGCGAACTATAGCCAACGAGCGACCGTCGCTTGTCGGCGAAGTTAGTGCCAACTTTAGCGGACAGAGGGTGTCGCGTGGTCAGCGCAACGAATCCCCACGATCGTTAATTTCGGTTTTCTAGACCGGAGCCTCGTGAGGCTGAGTGGACCCCGGTCCATACCCACTACTTCTCAAAAAATCTGGTAGCACCAGGAATCGAACTCGGGGCCTCTGGATCTCTAACCAGGATCTCTGACCACTAGACCACAGAGGCGGTCCATTCTTATTTCCTAGAATTATTATACCTTTAGTGTTTAATAGAAATTACCTCATACGTATTTTTAACCTAGGTACGACATACATGACAAAAGGGTACTAGAAACTTATGGAATACATGTCTGTTATTTATTGCCTGTATTTGTGTCTGACATAACGTATACAGATCGCCGAATGCATGGATTAAATAGAGGTTGACACTAATCCACAAAGAGAACCGTGTTATATGAGCCCCACTTGTATTTACGTGGATCCTGGAAAAACAGCTGAAATTCTGTCTATATTATACCCAGTCAAAATGAATAAACGTATTCTAAAAAACATTACGTCAACACCTCCGACAACACCCTGCCAGCAATTACTAACAACCGAGAAAATATTGATTTTGTATTGTTACATCGACTGACAGGTCTTAGTAACTATTACGCCATTCTCTCAGTGTACTGGTCATATGTAATTCACTTCTGACGGACATTTTGAAATGAGTGTGGAATCAGTGACATCTGTGAGATATTTCCAAAACATACTCCGCCCACCAATGGAAATGAGAATAAGATTGTTAAGGAAATATATGGAATTTTCTCGCTTGTGCACATTAAATAAACAGCATTTTATATATAATATATACATAAAATTCAGAAACTAAATTAGTTTTTCATCTTTCTCGGTAAAAGTATTCACCAAAGAAGTGCGTATATTTCCCGAGTTTATTCTGTGACATTTCGAACACGCCACTGGTCATGATATTCAACATAAATATACATACGGTTCTCAAATAAAATCGAGATACAGATATCACATAGCACATAGGAAAGAGTCACTTTTGTGTGTCGCTAAACATTATATACAACGAAGAATATATGAAATAAAAAATTCAGATAAATATATTCGTATTTTGCATCAGGCAGACTATCTATTTTTAGTAACCATCAAGGAAATTAAATCCTTGTTCATGCAAAAATTTGCGGGAACTAAAATATAATTCGCCTCGCTGATTTTAGCACAGTCCACCAGTCTCACATTTCATTGAAGTTCGTTCAATAGTATCGGAGGTAAAACATCTGAACAGAGACCACTTTGTACACTTTGTGCAATGAACATGCGAAATTGATATTGTACACTGTTCTCTCTGATACAGCACTAATGATGTCTGCCTGCCATATGACTTGCAGGGCAGCGATATAAACTTTCTGACATGCCATAAGGCGCGGATTTCAAAACAATCGAATAAAAACATGAGCCTACTCTTATTACTCATCAGACAATAACAGTAGCGATATATCTGAAAAATTGTTCATAATAGGCAGTTCTTACACCTTATGCCGGAAAGGTAACAAACTATTCTACGCGGTAAAAATGTGGTGTTCAAACTGCAGTATTATTAAAGTGGTGCTTAAAAATGGGTGTATAAACTTTTATGAAGATTTAGGTGGGAAAAACAGAACAAAGCTCTATTTTATATATATATATATTACGAGTACAACTCATTTTCCAGGGAGGTCAGAAACAAACGCTTTCCAGATTCTGAGGAAAGATCCCAGTACGCAGTTACACCATATCACAACTATCACTACCACAGTGGAACAACCAAACAACACATACAGGTACATGTAGCGGTCACAAAGTCTTAAATAAGACTTAAATAAATAAGTGATAATTATCTTCATCGTTATATTTATTCTAATTTTGGTTTTGATTTTTATCCTTTTAACGTCAAATTTTGACGGCTACTTTTAAATTATATAAGAACTAAATTTAAATTAAAATGTATTTTTAGCATAAAAATTCATACAAACACAATATGAATTCATATTGATTTATAACGCATTCAAGAACTAGTAACAGTAATCTTGTACGCCTGAAGATGACCTAAGAAAAGGGTCGAAACTTGTATCGTTACCACTAACAGCTAATAAAACAAGTATCTGTCACAGTAACGTCTTTCAAAACTATTATTGTGCAGACTGTCGGATTATATTACTTTCAAATGAAACTACGATTCTGATCACATATGAATTCTGCTAACAGTACTTTTGTATTACAACTTTCCACGAATATAAACTGAAGCGAGAATTTTCTTCTTAAGCCTGCACATTAACATTTCCTTATTTCAATAAAAATGTATCTCATATATATAGAGGTCAATAATCAAAGTAGCTAAACGACATTACATAGCTGCTGCACTAAGCAGTGCAACAATATGAGGTGATACAGGCGGTGTTCTCTGTGGGTCCGCTCCGACCGTGTTCTGTTCAGCGAAAGAGTGCAGTGCAGTTGAGGGCTCAGCTGCGGAGTGTTAACCAGGGGGAAACGGAAGCGGAAGAATCTCCGTTGCTAAGATTTGTTGCCAGCAAACTTGTAATAAAAACACTGCAGAGGAACAGCCATTGCAGAGAGCTGTTACCTCGCAAAACTAGTAGTAAAGTAGTCTGAGAAGATTTTATGTGAAGTGATCTCTAATGTTCAAATCAGCAATAGTGTTGCAGTTATTTGTAGTTATGCCCTGTTCAATAAATGTATACACCAATCCAAACTAATACACGTAACAATATGGAAGGAGGGAATTTTGATGTGCGTTTCCTTGTTTCCAGAAATTTTAATAATTAATTCTGAGTTAGCCCAGTTAGTTTCTTCTTACGAAGGAAGGGATAAATAAATGAGTGAACGAATCTTAAATCGGCCACATACATCGACAGACCACTCACGCTATGACAGATCGTCACAGAAGTTCTGTTTCCAAGGACACAAAGCGCGAAGACATCCATGGGTAAATGGAATTCGAAAGTGAATCCTGGTCTACACTTGTATAACAGTTGTCTTTGTAGAAGTCCGCACGATCAATAGGACCCGAAGAATCAGAAGTATCCACCTAAATTTGAATTTGTGATTACAATAGTGCCAAAGTACCTAAGAAAATATGAAAAACCAAGAAAATCCGAAAAACAATCTATTAACAAATACGACAACAAATGGGGCAATAGGCCTGTAACCAGTCTAGCTACAATAAATTTCTCCACAACAACAGGTTATCGGCTTGGAAACGGAAATGATTCAGTCAGTAGTCTTGAAGCGAAACTCGGACGGAAGAGATGGGTGCACCGAATACACGTCTTCACACTTTCGTTGCCTAAGAAGCTCGCTAAAAATTGTGCTACTGAACATGCTTTCTGTTCTCCTACAAACAGGCGACTAACTTCCATAAGAAGGCCGTGCCATAGTTCCGGCGGTTAGGAGCCAGCATTCCCACTGCGGGGGCACGGGTTTGAGACCGGATATGGTAATGTGGGATTTGTGGTGGACGAAGTGGTACTGGGGCAGATTTCCTCCGAGTACTTCGGTTTCCCCATGAATTCGCAATCTACCGATTTCTTCACAATCAACATCTATCATCCTGGGCTGGTACAATAGGCCAAAAAGTAGCCGCAGTATCAAGTGGACTCAGTTTCACCCAATGAAAAAAAAAATTTATGAGAGGAAAATTCTTCAAAATATGTCCGATATTTGCACACATTATCGTGCTGTAACTAATTAAGTATTGCAAACGGTTCATTATTAAAATTTAAATCCAATCTTACCAGCATGAGGCTCCATTTTGACATATCTGCCTTCCTGGTTCACAGCCTGGACCTCTTCCACAGTTTGATCCAGAGAAACCATCGAAACAGGAGCACCCAAAACGCCTGTAACGAAATAAAATATAACTCATAAATATATAATTGATCACTATATCCTCCATCATGTACACGTCATCGGTTCCTCGCTTTTGTGTATACAAGGTTTTTATTCTTAAGAACATATCTCTGTATGAAGAAAGCAGTCTT